TCTGGTTATTCTGTGCCAAGGTCCGTTGAGTATTGACTATATGGAACTTATTATATTATGAAACGAGAAACATTCTAGTTCTAGGTCTAGTGTTAGTTGTAGTTTTACACTAGCACTGAAACTATGTAGAACTAACACTATACCTAGAACTAGAATCATTCGGGTTTAGCCACACGTCTCTAAAGACGGCTAAACCCGAATGATTCTAGTTCTAGATATAGTGTTAGTTCTAGTTTTACACTAGCACTGTTACTATGTAGAACTAACACTANCGAGATTTATTTTAAATTAAAGCTCAAAGTTTTCTCTTTTAAATGATATATAATAAATATTAGGTTAATTTATGAAAATGTAGAGAAAATAAATGTTGAAGTAAAAGCACCATTTTTGCTTAACCTAAAAATGTCAAAAATCATAAAAATTAAAAAAATCCTGGATGCGGTGTTTATGAAAATTAAGAAATGAGATTTATCTTAAATTAAAGCTGAAAGTGTCCTCTTTCAAACCATATATAATAATCGTAGTGTTAAATTACAAAAATTTTGAGAAAAAAAGAATTAAGTTGAAGCTTACTTAATTCAAAAATTTTAAAAAAGATGAAAAATTAAAAATTCATGGAGAATTTATTTATGAAGACTAAGAATCGAGATTTATTTTAAATTAAAGCTCAAAGTTTTCTCTTTTAAATGATATATAATAAATATTAGGTTAATTTATGAAAATGTAGAGAAAATAAATGTTGAAATAAGCACCATTTTTGCTTAACCTAAAAATGACAAAAATTTTAAAAATTAAAAAATCCCGGAAGCGGTGTTTATGAAAATTAAGGAATGAGATTTATCTTAAATTAAAGCTGAAAGTGTCCTCTTTCAAGCCATGTATAATAATCGTAGTGTTAGATTACAAAAATGTTGAGAAAAAAAGAATTAAGTTGAAGCTTACGTAATTCAAAAATTTTAAAAAAGTTGAATAATTAAAAATTCATGGAGAACTTATTTATGAAGACTAAGAAACGTGATTTATTGTAAATTAAAGCTCAAAGTTTTCTCTTTTAAATGATATATAATAAATATTAGGTTGATATAAGAAAATGTGGAGAAAAGAAATGTTGAAGTAAAAGCACCATTTTCGCTTAACCTAAAAATGTCAAAAATCATAAAAATTAAAAAAATCCTAGAAGCGGTGTTTATGAAAATTAGGGAATGAGATGTATCTTAAATTAAAGCTAAAAGTGTCCTCTTTCAAACCATGTATAATAATCGTAGTGTTAGATTACAAAAATTTGGAGAAGAAAAGAATTAAGTTGAAGCTTACGTAATTCTAAAATTTTAAAAAAGATGAAAAATTAAAAATTCATGGAGAACTTATTTATGAAGACTAAGAAACGTGATTTATTGTAAATTAAAGCTGAAAGTTTTCTCTTTTAAATGATATATAATAAATATTAGGTTAATTTATGAAAATGTAGAGTAAATAAATGTTGAAATAAAAGCACCATTTTTGCTTAACCTAAAAATGACAAAAATTTTAAAAATTAAAAAATCCTGGAAGCGGTGTTTATGAAAATTAACGAATGAGATTTATCTTAAATTAAAGCTGAAAGTGTCCTCTTTCAAACCATGTATAAAAATCGTAGTGTTAGATTACAAAAATTTGGAGAAAAAAAGAATTAAGTTGAAGCTTACGTAATTCAAAAATTTTAAAAAAGATGAAAAATTAAAAATTTATGGAGAACTTATTTATGAAGACTAAGAAACGCGATTTATTGTAAATTAAAGCTCAAAGTTTTCTCTTTTAAATGATATATAATAAATATTAGGTTAATTTATGAAAATGTAGAAAAAATAAATGTTGAAATAAGCACCATTTTTGCTTAACCTAAAAAAGACAAAAATTTTAAAAATTAAAAAAATCCTGGAAGCGGTGTTTATGAAAATTAAGGAATGAGATTTATCTTAAATTAAAGCTGAAACTGTCCTCTTTCAAACCATGTATAATAATCGTAGTGTTAAATTACAAAAATTTTGAGAAAAAAAGAATTAAGTTGAAGCTTATGTAATTCAAAAATTTTAAAAGAGATGGAAAATTAAAAATTCACGGAGAACTTATTTAAGAAGACTAAGAAACGAGATTTATTTTAAATTAAAGCTCAAAGTTTTCTTTTTTAAGTGATATATAATAAATATTAGGTTTATTTAAGAAAATGTAGAGAAAGTAAATGTTGAAGTAAAGCACCATTTTCGCTAAACCTAAAAATGTCAAAAATCATAAAAATTTAAAAAGACCTGGAAGCGGTGTTTATGAAAATTAAGGAATGAGATTTATCTTACATTAAAGCTGAAAGTGTCCTCTTTCAAACCATGTATAATAATCGTAGTTTTACATTACAAAAATATGGAGTAAAAGAGAATTAAGTTAAAGCTTAAGTAATTCAAAAATGTCAAATAGATGAAAATTCAAAAATGTATGGAGAACTTATATATGCAGACTAAGAAACGAGGTTTATTTTAAATTAAAACTCAAAGTTTTCTCTTTTAAATGATATATAATAAACATTAGGTTAATTTATGAAAATGTAGAGAAAATAAATGTTGAAATAAAAGCACCATTTTTGCTTAATCTAAAAATGACAAAAATTTTAAAAATTAAAAAAATTCTGGAAGCGGTGTTTATGAAAATTAAGGAATGAGATTTATCTTAAATTAAAGCTGAAAGTGTGCTCTTTCAAACCATGTATAATAATCGTAGTGTTGGATTACAAAAATTTGGAGAAAAAAAGAATTAAGTTGAAGCTTACGTAGTTTAAAAATGTTGAAAAATATGAAAAATTAAAAATTCAAGTAGAACTTATTTATGCAGACTAAGAAACGAGGTTTCTTTTAAATTAAAACTCAATGTTTTCTCTTTTAAATGATATATAATAAACATTAGGTTAATTTATGAAAATGTAGAGAAAATAAATGTTGAAATAAAAGCACCATTTTTGCTTAACCTAAAAATTACAAAAATTTTAAAAATTAAAAAAATCCTGGAAGCGGTGTTTATGAAAATTAAGGAATGAGATTTATCTTAAATTAAAGCTGAAAGTGTCCTCTTTCAAACCATGTATAATAATCGTAGTGTTAGATTACAAAAATTTGGAGAAAGAAAGAATTAAGTTAAAGCTAACGCAATTCAAAAATTTTAAAAAAGATGAAAAATTAAAAATTCATGGAGAACTTATTTATGAAGAGTAAGAAGCAAGATTTATTTTAAATTAAAGCTCAGAGTTTTCTCTTTTAAATGATATATAATAAATATTAGGTTGATTTAAGAAAATGTGGAGAAAAGAAATGTTGAAATAAAAGCACCATTTTTGCTTAACGTAAAAATGTCAAAAATCATAAAAATTAAAAAAGCTTGGAAGTGGTGTTTATGATAATTAACGAATGAGATTTATCATAAATTAAAGCTGAAAGTGTCCTCTTTCAAACCATGTATAATAATCGTAGTGTTAGATTACAAAAATTTGGAGAAAGAAAGAATTAAGTTAAAGCTAACGTAATTCAAAAATTTTAAAAAAGATGAAAAATTAAAAATTCATGGAGAACTTATTTATGAAGACTAAGAAACGAGATTTATTTTAAATTAAAGCTCAAAGTTTTCTCTTTTCAATGATATATAATAAATATTAGGATAATTTATGAAAATGTAGAGAAAATAAGTGTTGAAATAAAAGCAACATTTTTGCTTAACCTAAAAATGACAAAAATTTTTAAAATTATAAAAATCCTGAAAGCGATATTTATGAAAATTAAGGAATGAGATTTATCTTAAATTAAAGCTGAAAGTGTCCTCTTTCAAACCATGTATAATAATCGGAGTGTTAAATTACAAAAATTTTGAGAAAAAAAGAATTAAGTTGAAGCTTACGTAATTCAAAAATTTTAAAAAAGATGAAAAATTAAAAATTCACGGAGAACTTATTTAAGAAGACTAAGAAACGAGATTTATTTTAAATTAAAGCTCAAAGTTTTCTCTTTTAAATGATATATAATAAATATTAGGTTAATTTAAGAAAATGTTTAGAAAAGATGTGTTGAAGTAAAAGCACCATTTTTGTTTAACCTAAAAATGTCAAAAATCATAAAAATTAAAAAAATCCTGGATGCGGTCTTTATGAAAATTAAGAAATGAGATTTATCTTAAATTAAAGCTGAAAGTGTCCTCTTTCAAACCATATATAATAATCGTAGTGTTAAATTACAAAAATTTTGAGAAAAAAAGAATTAAGTTGAAGCTTACTTAATTCAAAAATTTTAAAAAAGATGAAAAATTAAAAATTCATGGAGAACTTATTTATGAAGAGTAAGAAACGAGATTTATTTTAAATTAAAGCTCAAAGTTTTCTCTTTTAAATGATATATAATAAATATTAGGTTGATTTAAGAAAATGTTTAGAAAAGAAGTGTTGAAGTAAAAGCGTCATTTTTGCTTAACCTAAAAATGTCAAAAATCATAAAAATTTAAAAAAGCCTGGAAGCGGTGTTTATGAAAATTAGTGAATGAGATGTATCTTAAATTAAAGCTAAAAGTGTCCTCTTTCAAACCATGTATAATAATCGTAGTGTTAGATTACAGAAATTTGGAGAAAAAAAAAATTAAGTTGAAGCTTACGTAATTCAAAAATTTAAAAAAAGATGACAAATTAAAAGTTCATGGAGAACTTATTTATGAAGACTAAGAAACGAGATTTATTTTAAATTAAAGCTCAAAGTTTTCTCTTTTAAATGATATATATTAAATTAACTTTAAAATCTATTATTGACGATATATGAAAAACTGTTATTGAAACGGAATCTACAATAACGATGGAATTCATATAGGGACATCTTCTTGATGTTGAATTACAATTAAAGAACAGTTCGAAAATGTTCTTAATATATCGTTCTATGAGAAAATATGTGTAAATTACTATAAATATTTGATGAGACTTTTAATTCTCTAAAGAAAATACTGTATTCGTTTAATATTTCTTTATTAATGCCCTCTTAAAAAATTACAGTTTCGATTTTGGTTTCAGGTTAAACATTTCTCTCCAAAACTCAACCCCTTCTTTATCAGGATCAATCCCAACAGTTAATTCATCTCCAATATTAAGAAAATGCATCTTATCTTGCTCAATTGGTTTCCATTCAACCTTAATTAGTTCAAGATTATTCGGATTTCCATTCCTGGCAAAATTCGTCCACAACTTAACCATTCTTTGAATGGTTATATCTTCGTAACTGTTTTGTTCAACCGGTGGATTTTTAGACATCTTAAACAAATAACACAATTCATCCGAATGAGAAGCTCCGGGAAAATCGACACCTTGTAGTTTTTTATATAAGTTTAATTGCCCGTCGAAGGCGAATTTAAAAAAGTAAATCGGATTTTGTAATGTTTCTAAATGCCTTCTTGCCGTGTTTTGAATAAGAGAGCTAACATTATCTGTGTACATTCTATAAAATTGTTTACGATCTTTGGGATACGTTGGGTTTCGTTGGTTAAAATAAAAAATTTTCGCTTTTTCGGCGATTTTTAATGATTCTGGACTTCCTCTTTTAAAATCTGATTTAAATGGAATCATATCTTCAAAATTTCTTATTGAAATCGGATTTTCAGTTCGTTTTAATATTTTTCTTATTGTTGAATCAAAAAATATTCCTTCATCTGCCGTGTATCCAATAATCATCGGTACTTTTATGTATTCACCTTTTCTTACGCGTTCGTTACAATCCCCAAAAATTATTTTTTCTTCTATATTATCATCATTTTCTAAGATTGGATAAAACAGTCTTTCGTTATTCGATACTATGGAACCTCTAAACATCATTTGTCCTTCAATAATTTTCTCCATCGGTTGTTTCTGTAAAAATTCTAAAATATCTTTATCATTTTCTGAAGAGAAACCCAATTTCTTTGCCAATTGTTTCATGGAATCGCTTTGACCGAACGACCAATGAAGAAGAGCCGATGTGCTGTGAAGAATTATTTTGTGGAAAAGTCCTTCGCAAGCTGGTACAAACATAAGAATATGGGCGAGAAAAGCTCCCGTACTTTCTCCGAACAACGTTACGTTGCGTGGATTGCCCGAAAATGATTCGATATTTTGTTGAACCCAATTTAAACCCATGATGACGTCTCGAAGTCCTTGATTACCAGGGATTCCTAAAGAACCATCTTGAAGACATGACCAACCTATAAAAAAATAATGAAGAAATGTAAAATCTTTTTAAAGTTTAATACCGAAAGCTCCGAGCCTATAAGAAATTAATACAAGAACTACATCTTCAGTTAATAAAAATTCTGGGCCGTAAATTTCAGTTTTTGTATTTCCTATTAAAAAAGCTCCACCATGGATGAAAACTATAACTGGTTTTAACTTTATATTTCCAGTATTAACTTCTGGAGTATAAACATTTAGATGTAAACAATCTTCACTTCCTTCTAATTTTCTGGTGTACATATTAGGTGCAATACATCCTTCTTTTTCTTCAGTTACATCTAAAATTCCTTTCCATGGTTTAAGAGGTTGAGGAGGCTAAATCAATAAAATAAAATGAATAAAAATATGCAACTCAACTAGCACACAATAATAAAAATAATAATAATAAGAATTTATCAATTTTTATCTTAAATTTACCTTAAATCTTAAATTTCCGACCGGAGGTGTAGCATATGGAATTCCAAAGAAGCTATAGAAACTTCCGTTTTTATAATTTTTCTGAAGTTTTCCACGTAACTCTCCATGTTTTACTTTAACTAGAACTGTATCCATTTTCTATTTGAAACTGTATTAACTTTTTACTAGTCATTCAGAAGTTAGATAAGACATTTCTTTAAAAAACTGTTTGTTTTATTTAAAATTCTTTTTTCTATTACGATATATCTTTAAGAGTGTCTTCTTAGCTACAATATAAAATAGAGTCTTAATCTTCAAAAATAATTGTGGTGTTTTTCAACTTATCATATTAAATTGTTTAACCTTTGGCTTATAGTTTCTTTTTTTACCTATCTAATCTTACTATGCGGGAACTATCAAATAATTTTCAATTAGTACCGAATTGAAAATGAACAAACTTTTGTTTCGAATAAAATATGAGATTAAGTGGAAAAATTAAAAATAATATTACAAAACGGAAATGTTTTGTAGCTTTTTCGAAATTTTTTATGCAACGCCTTTTAATTGGATAATTAATGTTAAACGTATATTAAAGATAAATTTGTTTACAAATTGATAAAAGTAACGATTTATAATACAGTTTAGATAATATGTATTAAATGGGTTGCATATTTTCAAAAAATATTTTGGTTTTGAGCTAATTAACTCTTTGTGTCCCGACAGTACTTTAAAGTACCGGTAGTTTTCAACACTCATTTTAAACTGTAGTTATTTTTCGGGACATTTAGACCTGTCAGTACTTTCTACTATACAACAAAGGTTCTTTGTTATAAGAACCATAGTTTGTATCTAAAATGACGCAATCCGCACTGTAGGATTTTTAGGTATATTTAAACTTATTCATCCCAAATTCATCCAGATGTGAGATTAGAAGTTTGGTGAAAAGTGGTGTTGCTGAATTTTTTCATTTTTTCAAACATTTCTTATTCTTATCCCGAAAAAGTTACATTTTGTGTTTGGTACGTAAATGTACCGTCAGGATAATAACAGGTACAATATTGAGATTGATTTAAAAATAAGCCAAGCGAATACAGATACGTTTTGGTACTTTAACAGAGCTTTGACTCATGAAGAACTTTTGGTTGAGGCTAAAAAAGTTTGTATTGAATTATAAAATCTCCCGTTGGATAATTCTGAACAGACAGACATAGAAGATGAAGAAGGTGACATTGTTATTACTAGTGCAGGGTGTCCCAATTTCGATGTCCGCATAGGCTATTTCCGAAACTAAAAGAGATAGAAAAGAAGTAGCTTACATGTCATGATCTCGTTTTTCGAGAAAATGCTAATGCCGAAAACTCCGAACAGCTATCGTCTTTTGTTTTCGCCCTATCGGCAAAAACTGAAAATTTTGCAAAAACGACAATCGCGAATATCTCACTTATTATCAAAGATGGAGTATTATAAATAAAACATTATATGGGCAACTTTTTACGAAGAATTCAGTGGCGTAGGTAGAATTTTTTTCCCATCTTTTATTTTCGAGATTTTAGACGTAACTTTATTTTTTTAAATGGAAACCATAGTTGGCTATGACTTAAAATAATTTGTTATTTTCTTCTGATAACAAATATATATAGTTTGTGGGGTATATTTCTTATAGTTATTGAATAATTAACAAAAATTCATTTTGTTCCATCTAAATCTAATGTATGTATTTAAAAGTTAATGTTGCTATGGTGATAACCATACATACTATGATGGAATATAATGTATCAATTTTTTTTGTTCTTTCTAAAACTATTGTATGTATTTAAAACTTAATGTTGTTATGGTGATAACCATACCATGAGGGAAAGCATTGTTTCCAATTATTGCCAAAGTTTGTAGCAAGGACAGTAGAATCTAACAGGACTGCTACATCCATTGTATTTTTGTAGTCGACTACGGGTTGGTTGCCCGCACTCTACGTCACACTATTTGCCACGCCTGATAACTGTCTATGTTTTTAGAGGTTATATGATAGACATTAATACGTCTAAAAACATAAAACTTCAAAACTAATATGAATACGTCTAGGATATAACCTCTAAAAACACACAGCAAACGCATAGACCATAACAACAGCTGGGCGTGGAAAATGGTGTGACGTAGTTTGCGGGTAGGCTGTCACAACAATGGATGTAGCAGTCCTGTTAGATTCTACTGTCCTTGAGTTTGTAGTAGTATTTAAAAATTCACTAACAACTCTGGCATTATGTGCTGGTGCTCCGTCATATTGAAAATATATCATTTGAGACATATTTAGTGGCAAATTGTCGACCAAAGGCTCAATGTGCTGCCTTAATATATTGAGGTATTTACCTGAGTTTAAGTTTTTATGGTAGATACTATATGCCAAAATTCTATTATCTAAAAGGGCACACCATACATTGAACCCCAATCTTCTTTGAACACTCAGAGACTTCATCGGTCCAGATGACATTTTGAACAAACAGCAGATTATTTAATTTTTCTAAATATCATCTACAAAATTCTAATCTTCGATTGACATCTCCGGCACGTAAATAATGAGTTAGCCCCGCTTTGTATGGTTTATACTTATTTTTCTTTCATATTCGGGAGCAGCGGCTTTTGGGTCAGACGTCTTGTTGCAATTTCTCTTGCAGGTCATTTTGGTATGTTTTTGTATGTGGTTTGGGGAAGGACCAAATATCTATTAAATTTTCTGCTAACCGGCTGAAGGTTCTTACGTGCGGTTGTCTTCTTTCTGGATATCTTGTGAAATAAAATTCCGCGGCTAACGTCGCATTCTTATCTGATAACATATAGCATTCCATCATGTTACATTTTTCATAATTTTCGAAATTCATTGTAAAGTTTTATTCAGTTTTGTTATACTTTGACACTTAACATGCTGGTGCATCGTACCAGCACATAATGCCAGAGTTGTTATCGAATTTTTAAATACAAACTTTGGCAATTATTTGATACATTATGTTCCATCATAGTATGTATGGTTATCACCATAGCAACATTAACTTTTAAATACATACATTAGTTTTAGATAGAACAAAATGAATTTTTGTTAATTATTCAATAACTATAAGAAATATACCCCACAAACTATATATATTTGTTATCAGAAGAAAATAACAAATTATTTTAAGTCATAGCCAACTATGGTTTCCATTTAAAAAAATAAAGTTACGTCTAAAATCTCGAAAATAAAAGATGGGAAAAAAATTCTACCTACGCCACTGAATTCTTCGTAAAAAGTTGCCCATATAATGTTTTATTTATAATACTCCATCTTTGATAATAAGTGAGATATTCGTGATTGTCGTTTTTGCAAAATTTTCAGTTTTTGCCGATAGGGCGAAAACAAAAGACGATAGCTGTTCTGAGTTTTCGGCATTAGCATTTTCTCGAAAAACCAGATCATGACATGTAAGCTACTTTTTTTCTATCTCTTTTAGTTTCGGAGATAGCCTATGCGGACATCGAAATTGGGACACCCTGTGATAGTGAGGTACCTTCATCTAACAGGCTAGTGATGCTGGTAGATGAAGAAGTAGAACAACTAAAGGCCTATTCACACTATCGATCAACGACCGGTCAAGTCACGGGCCGGTCACGGGTCGGTCGCGGTCCGGTCAATTTTCAATTAATTCACACTGGTGATCTACCGGCAGTCAGTTTGGTGTTGGAAACGTGGTGAAAAAATGTTGTCAACATCAAGTTTAATAAAAATTGCTCTAATTTTGGATGAAGAGGAAGAAGAAAATAGGAAAGTCCGGAAAAGAAAACGTTTGTGGGTTCATAACATATTAAAACGACGAAATATTGAAGGAGAATTTGTCACGTTATATAATGAACTCTTAGACGACCAAATTAAATATATTAAATATTTCAGAATGTCAGTCAAAGAATTCAATGACATTCTTCAAGTAATTAAAGTTGATATTCAAAAGGAAAATACAACATTTCGAGAAGCTATATCTCCAATGCAGAAACTGGCAGTTTGTTTAAGGTAAGTAGTATGCCTGATTTTCAAATATATCTTATAT